CCACGCGCGCCCGTGGCAGGTGTGCGCTCCATGGAGCCCCTGGCATGGGCGTGGGGACAGTGACACCCGTGGCACGGGCGTGGGCAGCGTGGGTCTGGCACAGGCAGCGTGGTTTTTCTGGCACGGGTGTCAGAAGACTCGCCACCACCTTGATGCCATGGTGGCCGCCCAGGTGTGAGGCGGGTGCAGCCCTCTGTACAGGTAGGTGGTGGGCACAGCACTCGCACTGGTTCCAGGGTGGCGGTTGCCAGTTTGTGAGCGCATGATGGTGTCCTTGGTATGGGTGTGAGGAAGTGCTGTCATTACTAGAGTGTTGGATGGTTCTGGCCTTGACATGGTCTGGAGTTATGGCACCCGGGGCTTGAATGGTATCCTTAGCCTGGCAGAAGTTTCTGCTGTGACCGTGAGAAATGGCCTTGGCACAGCGTGGTGCAGGGGCACTCACTGCCTAGCCCTGAGAGGGGATCATCCATGGCTCTCAGACCTGGTGGATGGAGGGAAGGGTATCTGTCCATCCTCCTACTCTGGTGATGATGAGGGGCATTGCCTCTGTCACCAGTCCCACCTTTAATGCATGCCAGGTAGACTGCATTGAGGAAAGCAGAAAATTGGGAGAAGGTTGGTGTCCTTTATAAGGGACATGAAAGAGAGACACTGGAAGATGCTTCTCCCACAAGGACCATGATAGTGAACCGGGCAGAGACCCGCGCAGGTACTGGTATTGACCTGGGCTCATAAATCCATCCAGCTTTAGGGGAGAAGGGAAGTGGATGGCTCTCAGTGGTGCTCACTATCCCTGAATATGTGTCATGAGAAACATGCAGGGCTGAGGGGTCATCCGTGTCAGTGGGCTGGGTGAGGCGTGGCGCACCATCTATCTGTAGTCGCCGGCCCAGCCTTCTTCGTGGTTGATGGTTCGCCCGGGGTGCCTGGGAGTTGCCTCTCTTCTTTGATGCTTGGAAGGCTTTGGGTCCAGAGGATCCTTTGGGTGATGCTTGAAAGATGAGTCTGCAGTCACCGGGAGTGTGCTAAGACTGTGTCTTTCCCCATCAGGCCTTTGGGAAGCCTTAGGTGAAAGTGTCACTTAGCGTCACATGGCGTTGTACTTTGCAGAGGGGCAATTTACAGGCCCCCAGAGAAGTCTTAGGGTGTAAGGGAAATCTTTAGGTCTTTGTAGATCTCTTGGGGAAGTGGAATCAGGGTAGAAGAATAAACAGGGTGAGCTTTGGCTGGGTCTGGGGGAAGCCTTTAGAAGTTCAAAAAGACGATGTTAAGGGCATGGGGGACTAGGGTGGCGAGTGGCAGCTCATTTGCTGAGGCAGGTGCTTGGAGACGCTGCCGAGGTTCGCTGCAGTGTCGTCCGGTGCATTTGGATCAGAAAACTTGAATTCCAGGCTTGGCTGTGTGACCTCGAGCAGGTGACTCTACCTCTCAGAGTCATGCTACAAGGTGTTCATAGAGGGTGAAAGGAGATGGCACACATGGAAACCCTTTGTAAACCGCGAAGGACTGTACAAAGGTCAGGGATTCTAATCAGGTAAAGATCCAGGGAGGGAGGCGATAAGAAATGGAGGCATGAAATGGAATTGGAGAGGCAGACAGCCGGAAGGTTGAGGGCCTGTCATAGGGAATTAGAGGCCCTGAATGTAAAGGCTCCTGGTTGGGAAATGTGGGATCTGTTGACAATGTGAGTCTGCTGCTGAGCTGGAACCAGGCCCCAGGTCTCCCGAGGACGGTCCCGAGTGTGGCTGCAGCGACCACGGAGTCCTGCAGGAGTGGCCTGAGCAAGAGGAGGCCCATGGTTCGGCTGCAGACATGCCTGTCAAGGTCCATGCAGGGCTGGGAGGTGTCTGCGGCTGACAAATCTGGGGTACCTGTGTGGGAGGGAGACTTGGAAGTATGTGTTTTCTCTTGAGAATTTCCTTTGGCTTCAGGTTCTGAGGATGGGGGTGGGGAGCAGTCACATCAGCGTTTTTGAGGCTGTGGCCTGAAGAAAGCAAAGTGGGTCAGAGCCACCAGCGTGGACTTGTTGGGGCCATGTGGTCCTATGAGGGAGGCTGAGGCTGGATGGCAGGAGGACTGGGTGACCGAGGGGATGGGCATCCTCAGAAAGGTCCTTTGAGGGCAGACGGGTGTGGCATGAATTCCCCAGGCCATCTCTTCGCAGTGTGAGCCCACTTCTGTCTGAAGGGCCTTCCCAGGTGGGGACAGATGAGAGTGGCTGCAGATTTCCGTGCTTTCTGCCACCAGGGGCCTAGTTCCTGACAACAGGCTGCAGAGTCTGTATTTCAGACCCGCACAGCTAGGAGGCTTTGCCCTAGAAGGCTTGTTTCTCTCGAACCCATTCTCAAATGTTCAACGGAATGTCTGTCTGCCTTAGCCAGTGACCCGTTTCAAAAGCTTGCTTCCCAAGGCAGAAAGTTCTTGCCCTATGTCCAGACTGCAGTGTCAAGCCACATGGGTTGAAGGAGGTCATGGCCCCGCCAGGCCCAGGGTGATAAGCTCACTTTTCTATGCTGTGGGACCTGCCCTGCAGTGGCTGCTGCCTGGATGGACACTGCCTGGCGTTGCAAGAGCTTCCTTGGCCATTCATTCCCAGCTCGGTTGGAGGGGCCACCGAGGCCTTTCTCTGCCTCCTCAGCTCTTCAACTCCTATTTGGAATGTTCTCCTAAGCGCAAGTCCTTTAAGAGGAAGCTTCAGGCCTCCCTGTTGTGAGTCTTCAGCATTC